TGTAAATTCCTGTGGAGACAGATGGATTTACAGCTCCTAGGGACACGGCTTATTTCAACAGAATATTATTACAGTGGCACTTGAAAGCCCTGAGTTGGATAGATGGGCCACCCTGAGAGACCCTGTAGTTGGGTTCAGCAGAAACGGGTCCTTGTCCCAAGGACTTCGTGCTCAAAGCAGAAAAAAGGCTGGGAGCAAAGCCATAGGGGAGGGAAATATAAGTCTGTCCACTGTGCAGTAAAGGAATTGGTGCTGCTGGTTGCTAAAGATACAACAGAAAGACTGAAAGCTTCAGGAATAAAATGGAAGGGCCACTGTTCCCTTTTTCCTAAACAGTGGTGATGGTGGCAGAGTCCCAGTGGGACTCCTCACTCCACACGGAAAGCAGAGAGAGAAAGCAAAGAGCTGTCTTGCCCTGGGCCTTGACATTGTACCTTTGCTCCTCGAGTCATTTCTCCCTCTTTATACAGCCCACAAATGCAAGGCTGAATCTTTCTTCCCTCATTGGAATTTTGCCTTTCTGCTTCAGATACATTCTCACTCAATCACTTCACGCAATGTATCTGATAAGGTAGAGATACTGCCCATGTGGATACTTTGTTATGAGGTACAGAATTTATATCCTCTATTTTACTGTAGAATATCACAAGGCGATTACATGTGGTAATATTTCACCCTGCCTTAGCTTTTGGGATCGGGTGTGTTTATAAACATCCTTGACCTTCAGTTTAGAGAAAAGAATTGCAAGATAAAAATAATCATCTGCCATATCTTCATTTTCTAATAACCATCAACATCCCTGATTCTTTTGGCATTGCGGCTTTGCAAACCTTTGTCCTCAGGAGTCAGATTTGCATTTCAGATCACAGATTTCCCCAGATATACAAAGCATCCCTTTTCCCATATCAAATCTTATCTTTTGATGTAGAGACTAAACTGCCTCTCCAAAGATACAAAGCCAATCTGTAAAAAACCATGGAAATAGAAACCAGACCTCCTGGCTCTTAGCCCTGGGCTGCATTGATACCCAGGTGCGTTAGGGCAGTAGAATCACAGATCTTTCTTGGGAAATTAAGGGAAAGGGCAACGAGTTGGAGGAAATAAACCACCCACTGTCTACAAGCTTCAGATCACCTATTTCCCAGCACTTGATCAGAGATTAACCACCAGGGATGGAAACCTCAATGGAGCAGCATGAAAGCTATTTGCTACCTGCAGATGCTACCAGGAAGATTTTTGTTCTAGCTGTAACTACTGGGATTTTATTGTTTTTAGGCTCTGCCAGTTGGAAAATAATTTCTGTAGCTAGCATTCCTCTCCTTTCACTGTCTTATAAATATGAAAGAAAAAAAATCTATGCTCTTCTGTAATAGCACAGTTTTTCACATCGCTCTAAAGGGTCACATTTCTAGACAGAGACGCATCATGCATACATAACATGGTATTGCAAAATATGTGGGCAGCTCCTTCTTTGCTTGCATACCAAGCCGGTTTTTAGGTACAAACACAGATTTTTTGCCAAGAAACAAGGCAGTCCCGTCTGAAATTAATTTAAAAAATTGCAGTGATAGATGTCTGCTAGTGGAATTCAAATAATACCCTTGAGAATGACATCAGAAATGAGATTCGTTTTCCCTTTTTTTCTTGCTTTTAGATGTTTAGATATAATAATATAATAATGGCCAGTCTTCGCGAGCGAAGATTTGGGAAAGGTCATTAACCCTTCGAGCCTGCGCAGTGGATTTTTTAGGTGAGACACAGCGTGCGCTGACCTGAGCCCTCCCTTTAATCCTGAGGTTCATCTGCCGGAGCCAAG